GTCGCGACGACATGGAGTCGCTTGGCTATGTGATGATGTACTTCAATCGGGGCGTACTGCCCTGGCAGGGCATGAAGGCCAACAATAAACAGCAGAAATATGATAAAATCTCTGAGAAGAAAATGTCCACGCCCATCGAGGTGCTCTGCAAGGGCTCACCGGCCGAGTTCTCCATGTACTTGAACTATTGTCGTAGCTTGCGTTTCGATGAACAGCCCGACTACATGTACCTACGTCAATTGTTCCGGTTAGTTGCCAGCCGTACGGCTTCCCTTAACTGTCCCGGGGTCTGTGTAAGCTCGACTGTATTCGAGGAGATGTGACATATATAGACATGAATAGTATTCTAGCCTAAGATTTGATTGACCCGAGCGATGAGTTTAGTTAGGGATTTTAGTGTTGGTGAATTCTCGAAAATGAAGAATACTCTGAGAAAAAAGTGAAATCTCTCAGTTTGTCTTCAAATTATGTGAATCAAAAGCTGACTAAGAAAATGATATGATATGATAGATGCGAAAATAGCTAAGCCAAGAGTAGAAATAAGTGGGATTGTAAGATAAGTACGTGATAGACGAATGCAACAATAGAGAGACAAATGAAATAGCAGATAGATGGTAGAAAGATTCGTGACAGATAAGATATTAGCGATGGATAAAGAGTAGACGATAGTTGGAGTGTTAAGGAAGTGTTACTGTGAATAGGTCAGGATAGAGTCAGGGAAATATTTGGATATATGGACAGATCTATATTGATCAGATAAAGCTATGGTTAGATAGAAATTAAGTAGTGTATGTAGCATATATTGATGGTTAGATATAAAGTATATAGATACACATATATATATAGGATAATCTGTATATCTATATCTATCTATACATCACTCGATCTCAATGCAACAAAGAAATTTCTAACAGTTTTCTTTACGCTCTCCCTTTCTCTTGTTAAATACGCTTAGCATTTTGTTCCGAACGCTGAACCATCAGTATGACTACATCTATGACTGGACAATGCTGAAGCAGAAGACCCATCAGGGTCAGCCGAATCCCGCCCTGATGCTGGAACAGTTGGAGACGCGCAACGATCGCGATAAGGAGAAAGAGAAACCGAACTGCAAACCTCCCATCACCGAGTAATTCAGCTGAAAGGCAGTTAAATAATAATAATAATAATAATAATAATAATAATGCAAAATACAAATACAAATGAAGCAAATAATTGGGTGGCAAGCGTTGAAAACAAACAAAATGAAGTGAAATTGAAATGGAGCAAAGCAAAATAAGCATCAAGCGGAGGATGATGCTGTAAAGATTTGAAGCGCTGGAGGAGATGGAAGAGGAAGCGGAAGCGGAATCTAGGATGTTTCTTATTATTAATTTAAATTCAATACTAAACATTTAAGACGATGACGAAAACAAAGCAAACATTATAATGAAGGATAATATCTAAATGGAACTCACACACACACGCCAATTTTCATATATATATATAAATACACACACACACACACACACTTACACAAAAGAGCAAAACACTTAGCCTAATAAAAGCAAAAAACAAAACTATATAAATATATATGTATGTATATGTATATGTATATGAATATACATATATATAGATATATATATATATGATATAACAATGCAAAAATATATATTATATATGTATATAATGCAATACACACACACACACACACATACATACATAGATACATATATACACATTCAAATGTTTCTCGCGTGTAAAAATATGCATAAAAAACATTTATATATATATATATATATATATATATATATATATATATATATA